ATATCAGAAGCCAGCTGAGGGGGAAGGGAACTCCGTACTGTCTGTGGACAGGAAGAGAGGCCCTGTGCTCACAGCTCATGGCAAACCCTACCTTGCCTGCGCTTGGATATGCACAGAGATGGGGACGAAGGGCTGCAGAAATCCTGCCAACCCTCGGCTGTTAAATAATATGGTTAAAGAACCCAAATCAAGTGGTTTTTTAAAAGGACACAGGAAAAGAACTCCAGAGTGCGTTTAAAAAAAAAAAATTCCAGTGGACTTTGAGCAGCATCCAGGCAGGGTTGGTAGCAGAGTGGTCCTGAGGACCTGCACTGCACCAAAACCCTACTGTGGAGTCCAAGCTGACCTCCGGGACGGGTCACTGGCTCGGCAGTCAGCAAGCGTTGCCCAGGACTAATTCCAGCATCCCTTCTCCATGCCTGGACCCTGAACTTTCTCCGGCCAAACGCTGTTTTCTTAAACATCTGATTGTGAAGGCCCGTAAATCCACAGGCATTTCTTAGGTGCACTGCATAGACAATACGGAACGTGCATACTTTGCCAGTGCTCCGACACGGGGGCAACGCATTTCGCTACTGAACTCGACTGGCGGACAGACGATGCTTGGGTTGCGTCAGGGCTGTGGGCATTTGGCAGCATATCTACATCATGCTGTTTACGGCATGCAATGGCTTCTGTATTCTAGCGTGGGAGGCGTTGGTGGTCCTACTGTACATGAGAGGCGAGTGTTCTACATGCAACTCGATGTGCAGAAAGATGTGAAGCATTCCTGTTTAACTCATTCTCAGCTGGGCGACTGGAAACCCATTTGCTGACCAAAGTCATCTGCCTGTGGGGAACTCACAGAGCTATTTCAGTGCATCAGGGAACAGCAGCTCACTACGCTCACAAGCGGCCCACTACTTTCTCTAACTCTTACTCCAGAAAGACATTTACTGTACACATAAATATTTATGACCACAATGGAGATGAGATGTCTCTTTAGAGGCCTTGGTAGTCAAACAATAAGGGCAGGGGGGTGTCTGTGGGCCCCCCCCACCCCAGGAAGGCTTCCCACAGCAAGGTGACTTGCGCGCCCTGCTTCTCAGAGACCGTGACTGCGTGTTCATTTCTTTTAGGCCATCGCTGGTTAAACTTAAAATAAAAGACAAATGTTTATAACGCACCTGAATCTCATTCCCTTCTAACAATGCAGGATAAACATTTCTTTTAAATCAACGGGTTTAAGGGGAACTAAAGCACTCCCTATCAACTTCATAACAAGGATTCCAGTTGCTAGTTCTCGAGGGTTGGGGGGGGAAATAAATCAATCATCAAAATCGGAGGAAGAGATGATGTGCTTCGACATGGGGGAGGGGGGAAATGCATACATACAGATCTCTGTTTATGAGAATTATTTACAACGGACAGAGCCCACCCTAAGCCTTGTGGGTTGTTTCGGATCACTCTGGAGTAAACCAGTGGTGAAGAAAACCTTTCACCGATTGGGCACCCTTGCGTTTCTCTTGTGAGAACATCTCAGCCCATGGGACTACATCATGTTTTGTTTCCAAATTCTTTGACATCATGAGGACTACGGGTAGGTGACCTACTCTTAGCCCTGATGACCCAACGATGACGTTACATTCGGAATGTTCTTTTATTTATTTTTTTAGAAAAATTTATTATCCACAAATTCACATTCATCCTCCATCCTAGACTATGAATTGGGGGAGTGCTGGACGGTTTTGCCCTCCAGGTCTAAGGTGGCGCCGGTCTCCTCCTGTGGGTTCCGCCTACTTCTTCTCTTTCTTCCCCGACTTCTTCTTGTTTCCCCCTCCGGAGGCTGCCGCTTTCCCGTCACGCTTTCCCGCGGCATTGGAGAGCGTGGCCGTGCTGCCCGGGATGTACACGTTTTGCCTGTAGTCGGGGACGTGCTGCAGGGTGAACTGGGGGCCATACCTGGTGCTGAGGCCCATCGTGCCTGCAGTGGCTCCGCCTCCCAGAGTCGAATTCCCGTCTGGATTGGCGGCGGCGGCAGCGGCAGCTTCTGCAGGAGACGGGAGACAAAAAATAATAATTCAGCAAGTTTACAAATATGGTCTTTTAACAACATTTGCTAGAGGACATGTCGCTGCATTATTTCCTACTGATGTTATACCATGTTTCTACTCTGGAGCTGCGGTGGCTCAAGTAGTTAAGACCAATGTTCCCTCTAAGCTGCCCAGTCGTGTGAGCAAAAATTCTACTATGTGAGCTACTGGCATTAAAGTTGTGAGCCAGCGATTTGGATACTGCACAAATTAGTTTGCTCTGGAGCCCTCCTTCCTGAGCGAAGACAAAAATGTGTGAGCCGGGGGCTAAAAAACTGTGAGCTGGCTCAGCCTTGGTGTTTAGTCATGCTGGCCACATGACCACGGAAACGTCTTCGGACAGCGCTGACTCTTCGGCTTGGAAACGGAGATGAGCACCGCAACGCTAGAGTCGGACTCGACTGGCTTTCGAGCAAGGGAATCTTTACCTTTTAGCTTGTATCTGCATGCCGAACCAAGCCTAATATTCTATGCTTGTTTTGGATTTCTGTAATCCTAGCCCTATTACCTCACTTATGAGACGTATCATCCGACCGACTGCATCAATTTACACTTGTAAGGTTTCCCCCCGGGCACTGGGGGGAGGGATTAGGTAGGGTTGCCAGATCCAGGTTGGGAAACCTCCGGAGATTTGGGGATGGAGCCTGGGGAGGACAGAGACCTCAGTGGGGTACAATGCCAGAGAGTCCAGCCTCCAAAGCACCCACTTTCTGCAGGAGAACTGATCTCTGCAGTCTGGAGATGAGCTGTAATACTGGGGGACCCCCGGGTCCTACCTGGAGGCTGGTACCCCTGCTTGGAAGGTGGACTATAAACATAGTTAATTCATGTTAGAAGTCTGCTATCTATTATTTGGGAAGAATCCTCTGCTGCTTTCGCCCTCCCCACATCTTGTGAAGGGCCTAGGTTTTGTAAAATGTTAGGTAGCCTACATGAGAACAGCAGTGCATATTTTCTACTATGTGCATGAAATAAGCAGCAAGTTGGCCTCAACTCCCTGAAGACCCCCACCCCCACACAGCCAAATCCAGCTGGCAAAACAAAGTAGTGATGTGGCCTCTCTGTTAGCACGCATATCCCGTTCCTTGGATTCCCCGCGCATGCATGTGGCATGGTTGATTTCATCTGCAGATGGGTGTCCAGAACAAACCTTCAGAGTTCTAAAAAGGCACAGAAATAGAAATTCCTTCCAATGTTCCTGTTCTTGCAGAGAGAGCCAGTTTGATGTAGTGGTTAAGGCAATGTTCCCTCTAAGCTGAGTCAGTGTGAACTACCTCACAGTTTCTTAGCCTCTGGCTCAGACATTTTTTGTCTCAGTTCAGGAAGGATGGCTCCAGAGCAAACTAATTTATGCAGTAGCAAATCGCTTGCTTGCCAGTAGCTCTCAAAGTAGAATTTTTGCTCACAAGACTCCACAGCTTAGAGGGAGCAATGGTTAAGAGTGGCGGACTCTAATCTGGAGAACACAGTTCGATTCCCCACTCCTCCACATGAAGCCAGCTGGCTGACCTTGGGCCAGTCACAGTTCTTTCAGAGCTCTCTCAGCCCCTAAAAAAAAGTTCTAGCTCGCCACTAGCACAACGCTAAGAGCTGGAACTTGCAGCTGCCAGACTATCCTAGGATCTCCTGGGTATCCTACCCACAATGCCATATGATAATTATAAATTATTATTTGTTCCTGCAGAGGTACACAGTTCAGGGTGATATGAATACACAGAGTTTGGCTACTTCAACAGAAGTGGAGCGCTCTCCATTCCCTGTCAGAACTAGCAGTGGTGTTTTAATACTACATTAGAAGATATACTTACAATAAAGCTAAACAGTGTCTTCCTCTTTTTAAAAAAAGGCTGAAGTAATATTTCAAAAGATGGAGATTGGAAGCAACTTCCTATCGAAATGCTAAGACGGTATCCCACACCTGTTTCCCCATCTCCCAGCTGCATTGAAGCAGATACTCAGATCGACGCCATGGTGAATTTTGCATCCTGTCTATCCACTTCTATCCTACCCTTCTTCTAAGGGGCTCAGATTTATATAATTTATATACCCCCCACTTTTATCCTTACAAAAGCTCTGTGAGGTAGGTCACACTGGGAGACGACGACTGGCCAAAGGTCATCCAGTGACCTTTGACTGAAATGAGGATTTGAATCCATGCCTCCCAAGTCTTAGTCAGATCTGGATCCTCACTGGTGCACCAAACTTGACTGAAATGTCTCTAAAGAATCCATGGGAGTGGATAGGAAGGGGTTCCCCATCTCACCCCTCCCATCCCTCCTTGTCATGGGCATGACTCTTACCCCCTGTCATGATATGGGCTGTGCCACCAGAGGCCTACTAGGTCCAGGAAGCCTGGCTAGCAGTAGGTGAGGCTGGGCCTACAACTCCCAGAATCCCCTGAGAGGTTTTGGAGCCAAAATTGACCAATAGGGAAGAAGAGGGCTGGGTAACAAAAGGGCTAGTGCCAGAGCAGAAGCTGTTCTTTCTTCCAGAGGGCAGAGCCAGAAGGAAGGCTGCTGCGGGAAGAAACCCTCATCCTGAGGGAAAGGTGAGTAGTCTAAGGCCACTGCAGATAGTGAGCTAGGGACAGTATATATTTAGACGCGTTAGGGCATTTGATTTATTTTCTTTTCACCCACCTACTGTTATAATTCTGCACCTTGTTGTTTGACCTCCTATACAATAAACTATTTTCATTGTTCACTCTGCCTGGTCCTCACGCCTATTATTCGGCCAAAAGGGAGGTCTAAAGGTCTTGGGAGGGTGCTCTGGGCCTTCTCAAGGGAGGCTGGAACCAGAGTGGTGGCAGCATCAGGTGACACCCCACCTCAGAAGAAGGGATCTGAGCACAAAGAGAATGGGGAAAGAACAGGATCATGAAACCACCCCCGGGGAAGAGGATGACCCATCAGAGATTCCGGTGGAAGAGCCCTGAAGGATCAGGAGGCCTCTGTCCTCAGTTCTCACTTGTCACTGCTGCCCTCAAAGATGAGAGAAACAAACAAGGCAGAAGGCCAGGGCCCAGAGAGAAAAAGTGATGGAACAGAGCAGGTGAGAATGAACTGGCTAGGAAGGGGCCATCTGAACCTGCTCCAGCCATCTTGCAGCTTCCCCTCTTCCATTCCTTCTCGGGCAACCTGGACTGCTTGCGGCTGCACATTTCCCCTAATATCTGCACAAGGGAAAGGACTGCAGATCTCTTTTTTAAAAAAGTGAAAGCTGAGAATCCAGGGGTGTGCTGTGCCTCTTTCTGAATCTGAGGGTGCAAGTTTTATCCCGGCTGCTGTGAGACAGGTCAACAGACCATGAGGCAAATCTACTCCACCAGATCATAAGGCCTATATTGATTGGTGCCAAGATGATCATAAATGGCAAGACTCCCTGATGGTCCAGCAAAGGCAAAGAGAAAGAAGGATGGGTTCTAAGATCTAAAGATACCGGAGGGGGAGCAGAGGCTATTGCGGCAGTGACCCTCCCTTGAAGCTCTCTCCTGACCAATCAGCCCCAAAGGCCCGGTTGGCCATTCGGGTGAGTTTATGTAAGGCTGGGAGTGGGCGTGTGGGTGAGTTTGTAAGTGCAGTGCATACTTGCTACCAGTGTTCCCTCTAAGGTGAGTTAGTGTGAGCTAGCTTGCAGTTTAGCCTCCAGCTCACAGATTTTTGTCTTAGCTCAGGAAGGAGGGCTCCAGAGCAAACTAACTGATGCAGGAGCCAAATTGCTCACTGACAACTTTAATGCCAGTAGCTGACAAAGTAGAATTTTTGCTCACAAGACTCCACAGCTCGGAGGGAGCATTGCTTGTTACTAGGACACACTCCCTGATCAAAAAAGCCGAAACTGTGTTTTTGAAGCACACTAGGACCCTGTCTCTTGTTTGATTCCTTGGCTTGACACAAACCCGCAGTAAGTTGGCAAAAAGGCAGGTGGGAGTTCGATCACCTCTCCTCGGCCTCTCAGCCCCCACCACAAACTCACGGCGTTGCTCTTTTCAGCAAGCGACTCCCCACTCCACCTCAGACTCCCTGACACCCAGGGCTATTTTTGGGCAGGAACGCACAGGAACGGAGTTCCGGCTGGCTCCCAAGTTGGCCACACCCAGCAGGAACTCATTAACATAACAGGCCACACCCAACAGCAGAAACTCATTAGGATTGGCTACACTGGGGTGTCTGGCCTAACATGCAAAGGAGTTCCTGCTACAAAAAAAAGGCCCTGGGTAAACAAAATAAGAAGCAAAAGGTGGTTGTGGCTGGATGAGCACACTTCGGGTAACATGGGGGTGTGGCCTAATATGTCAATAAGCTGTGCTGTCGTGGGTGTTGCCTATTATGCTAATGAGTTCCTGCTGGGATTTTTCTAAAAAAAAAAAACAACCCTGCTGACAGCCCCCTTCCCCAGCACACTTTGGGCAACATGGCTATGATCCCGGCCTCCCTTACAAGGTTACTTTTAGGATTACCCGGATAATGTAATACAGGCACGTTCACTTTCACACCTGAAACTTGGTATATACAGGCACAGCTTTATTGTCACACACTTTCGATGCCTGAATCCATCTGCTTACCAAAGGAGATTAGCACAGAGAGGCGGCAGATGGAGGCCACAGAAGCCCCGAAGGGAACTTAGACGTGAAGATTGGAGGAACGTTTTAAAATCTCTTTCCTATGGAGATAAGTAAAGAAAGTAGATCTCACACTTCCCTTCTCCTCCGGGCATTCTTGGTGTGCTTTAGAAAGTGCGGGCAGTTTGCCTGTTACCTCCTTTGGCTCTCCATTCAGAGCCTTCTGTGCCAACTTGCGGGCAGTATACCCCAAATATGGCACTATGTCTGGGGACTTTGCAAGGACCAACGGGAATCAAGCCCTAAGTGTTTCCTTGGTCCTGTTTCTCGGCTGTGACAACCTCTTTCCTGAAAACAGGGGCACAGGGGTGGGCTGCGTCAGCTGATTGCTTTCCA